GAAAAAAGTTATTTCTAGCAGAAAATATTTATCAGCAGAAAAACAGGTAGTCATTGCTTGATCTGGACGGCAATTTATTTTGTCAATTCAATTATTTACTGGGACCTGATCACAGTCTCTTCCCCTTCTGGACGGCAATTTATTTCGTCAATTCAATTATTTACTGGGAACTGATCACAGTCTCTTCCCCTTCAACTGATTGTACCTCGCATCCTGATCGAACCACTTTCAACTCATCGTTCGCCCAGAATTGGCATAGCGAAAGAAAATAGACAGCCAGAAGTCAACAGCTAGAAATCAGTAGTCAACCGATTTTAACCATGTCAAGCAAAAAACTTAGCCAATAAGAATTTAATGGACTTCAAAAATCAGCATTATACAAGATTTACTCCTATTTGTACGACCAGAAGAAAGATTATCGTAAAATAACGGAGTTTATTCAGAAAACATCGGAAGCAGACAAGGATGGCAAACTACAGTCAACATCGACGAAAGCAAAAGAAGTATCAAAAAATGTGAGAAATTTTTCGCCTTTTCCTGTACCAGAGGAGTGTGTAGACTTGATTTTGGGTTCAAGTATAATTGCTAGGGTAAAAACTGAAACTTTCCCCAATGATACAAATGTTCATGCATACAGGGGTAGCTCCACTGAGGAGAAAATAAAAGTCCTTGACCAATATAGTGAAAAAAAACTTAAGTGTGTGATAATCCAAGATGGGACAAACTCCATCTTAAAAAAAATTTACTCAACGATTGATGAGTTTAGCGCCAAATATGAAGAACTTATCGCTTTAATAACTGCAAAATTTTCACCAGAATCGATTGTCATTCAAGAAATACCACCAATACTTAACAATGATGATGCTAATGACAAAATTGATCATTATAATCGTTTTCTGAATGAAATGTATGGTTCGACGACGGGATTTGAGGTGCTAAGTCTAAACTCAAACATCAAAAGCTTGGAGAACTATCAGAGTTTATATTTTGACACTATACACCTGAACGATGAGTTAGGTATACCATTATTGCGCAATTGCCTCGGCTCATACGTGTTCAAACACTCAAGTAAACTCCCGAGGGTAAAACCAGCCCCTGATTATACTGGAAAAGCAAATTCCAACCAAAAATCGTTTTCCAATTATCAACATAAAAATGTTTATAGGTCTACCAATAGACCCTATAGTAACGATCGCATGCACCCATATGGCCGACAAACTGGTCATGGCCGACAAACTGGTCAAAATAATTTCAACAACAACTCATGGGGCTGTTATAATAATTATAACCATAATTTGAATTGTAACCAGCAGTCATATAACTACTCGCAAGGTTTTCATTATTAAGTAACGCTAGTTAAGACTATCTTTTTGATAAACGACTGTTATTTGTAATTTTAACTATAATTGTTCTACAAAGCGATATGCTGTTACTTTTTGCCTTAACTAGCATATCTGTCATCAGCTTCTGCGAAAGCGATCAATTCGTAGCTTATGCGGTACTGAATAAAAGAAAAGGAAAGTATATTTTTCCATGGGTTGCCACAATATACTCGAACAAACATTATTGCACTATACTTAATAATATAAGCTATTACTATTACAGTTATTATATAAAAAACACAAGCAAGACTTATAAAAAACAAGAAAGGTCCCTTCATAAAACTCTCCTAACATCAGGGGACATCCACCCAAATCCAGGACCATTCATGCAATTCAGTCAAATAAAGAAAAAACTGGAAAACTACAACAACAACTTAAAAGTACTACATCTTAATTGTAGAAGCTTAGCTAAAAGCGTTCAGATCTCAAACAACTTATCAAAACTTTTAATGATAATACAATTTTCGGATTTTCCGAGACATGGTTCAATGATACAAATGACGATAAACTATGGGCCATAGACAATGACAAACATAAGTTGTTCCGATGTGATAGAACTTATGAATCAAGTAAAAAATTGAAGGGTGGAGGGGTCATGTTACTGGTTCCTAAAAAGTTAAACCCAAAAGTAAGACATGACTTAAACAACATGCACAAAAAGTATGATAGCATCTGGATGAAATTTAAAGCCGGACTCAACAAAAATGATAGAACCATTATATTAAACCTGGCCTACAATCCTAATAGAAACAACAAAACAGACTTCTTAGATGATCTAGCCAAATCAATTGACCATGCACAGTCATTTAATTCAAACCTAATTTTACTAGGAGATTACAATCTCAACTATCTCAACAAAGACGACAAACAGTCTTTAGATACAATCCTAATACCATATAATCTGGACGTCACTAACAAATTAACACCTACTCACTCAAAAGCACTAATTGACTATATTATCACCGACCTAGGCATAAAAGATCTAACAAATAATTCAATAGTATTCACACCACCAATTAAGACCGACCACCAAGCAACAGCATTCATTACAGAACTTAAGCTGAACAACAATGTAAGACCAATCAAACGTAAAATATATGACAAATCCAATTACTCCAATTACAAATTTAAACAAAAACTATCAGCTATAAATTAGAGAAGTTTCTGTAGCAATAATAATCCCGAAATAATGCTCGACATCTTCACATCAAACATTGCTGACACCATTAAAGAATGTCCCCACGGAAGACTATTTTCATTCGCAACGACAAACCAAAGGTAAACTACGAAGATGATAAATTTATTTCCCAACTGTTTAACTCGAAAAAAAGCGAACGCAAAAAATGGAGTATAATAAACGATACAAGAAACTCAAAAAAATCTTCCAACCTCATTCCATTACTTAGAAACTCCTTCGGCGATTTCATAACCAATAATTTACAGATGGCGAACCTGCTAAATTACAAGTTCTCAACTCTTGGATGCTTTTATGAGAAAAATTCAAAAATCAGGAAAAGTCCACCGACTTCTACATACAGAATTCGAAATAATAATAAATTTTCATTCCGATTCATCACATCAGCTGAATGTAAAAAAAAAATTCATAATTTAAATTGTCAAAGGCACCAGGTCCATCCAAAATTCCAGCCTGGGCACTGAAGGATGGCTGCAATGAAATATACACACATCTGACATTTCTGTACAATGAGTTTTTGAAAAACAAGACATATCCTTGCAAGCTCAAAAAAGCAATTGTCACACCAATATACAAAAAAGAAGATCCAGAACTGCCAGAAAATTATAGGCGTATCTCTATAACTGGGGCTCTTTCAAAAGTTTTTGAAAAATTGTTATATAAACAAATCAACGAATATCTGATATCCCAAAAATTACTAAGTAATACCCAATTTGTGTTCAGAACATCATATTCAACAATCGACGCTATTCTTTATTGCACTGAAGCATTCAGAAAAGCAATAGACAACAACAAAACTGTAGCATGTTCCTTACTGGATCTCTCTAAAGCATTTGATTCTATTGATCATGCTTATCTTAAACAAAAACTAAAAGGGTTAAATTTTTCCGAAGAAGCTATAGAAATGATCAATTCCTTTATCACCAACCGAAGTCGGAAAACAATTGTTAACAACACCGAATCCGATTGGATTACACTTGAGCAGGGTGTCCCACAGGGCACTGTCCTTGGCCCTCTAATATTCAACCTCTACATTAACGATCTCAACAAACAAATTGACAAAACATGTAAAATAGTTCAATATGCGGATGATACATTACTCTTCTGTGAAAATAACGATCCACAAAAAGCTATTAAAGCACTCGAAGCCAATTGCTGTGTATTGTCAAATTATTTTTTAGAACATTCACTTCAATTGAAGGCAAAAAAAAACAGAACTCATTGTTTGGAGCAAAAACCATTCAAGGAAAAAGGATGAAAAGTATACTATAACTCTAGATGATAAAATAATTGAGGCAAAAAACTAATGTTAAATACCTAGGAGTAGTTTTAGATCAGTTTCTCACATTCCAAGATAAAAATATTCTCAGGAAAATGGCATGCGGAATAAAAACACTTCAATCAATCAAAAAGCCATTGTCAGCGAAAACAAGACTCTTGATAATGCATGCACTGTTAATTAGTCATCTGCATTACCCAGCAATTCTTTTAAGTGGAATATCCGCTAACCTAATGATATCTCTGGAAAAACAATTAAACTGGGCAGTAAAAACTTGCTGCGATCGTGCAAAATACAACTCATCTTCAGACTTGAAGCTAAAACACAATATATTACCAGTAACAATGTTTCTGGACTATAAAATAATATGTCACTTTTGGAAAATACAACATCAATTATTGCCAGCCTATTATAACATTGAGTATGATAACCACCAAATAGATATTAATACAAGAAACCAAAATTATATTTCGGCGACAGATACAATGGGCAATACATAGAAAATTCCTTCTTTAAAAAGTCCGTCATAATCTGGAACAAAATAACAGATGATAAAGTCAACTTTAAAGACATAGTAACATACAGAAAAGCAACGATAAAATTCAAAAATTATTATTTATTATTATTTAAAGAAGACCCCTCTGTGGCAACTCATGGTAAAGTTTCATGGAAAAGCTTCAAGTTTATATAATAACATTTATTTACCAACCATCTTGAAGCTCTCAGGTGAAAAGTAATCATCGATAATTGTAATCGAGTTTGTTTTGTTTATTGTTATTGTAACTATGTGTATCTAATGATGTTATAATATTTTTATGAACTGATAGGAAAAAAAACAGAAAGCATTTGACATACACTTGTGTATTGAAATTAATTTCGATGTGCAATTAAAGTGTTTTTTTTAATTTTTTTTTTGAAGGGACTCCTGACTGTAACCTCGGTTACTATGATACTTTTGACCTTCTGATTACCTAAAAAGGACACCAACCCAAAGTGCTTCCGAACCTTAACCACACTTTTTTGGTGTTAAGCTACAAAGTTGTTCTTTGTTTTGGTTGACCTAAACTCATTTTTCCTGGTTAGAAAACTATTCGGACTACTTCTCGCTACTTAACAGCTGCCATGAATGTTTTTTACTTTTTTCAGAATAAAAGTTTGCTCTAAATGCTTTGTCTTTCATAATGTGACAAAATGGAATAACTATGGAGCTTAGTAACCGGAACGGACATAGCAATGGTGCAATTCAGTATCAAAATGGAAATTCGGTACATTCCTCGAATGGAACGGTGAGTAAAATTTGAGTGCAAATCATTTCAGCCCCATGTTTTTGTGTCTTATTTTTTTTTCTGTTGATCAGGTGACTAACTATCGAATTGAGTCTCGAAGCATCTCATCAATAAATGATGACCGCATTCCGAGAGAAATCTTTTTCAGGTAAATAAACATCTAGAGTACATATCATCAGTGTTTACATGAAAGTTTTTTTTTCGGGTTGTTGAAGAGTTTTATACATGTCTTTAGTGCAACAGTGTTTCTGGTCTCGATGAGTGAATTTTAGTTTGACGCTGCAGTTAAGAAGAAGTCAATTAAAAAGCCAACACTAAATCAAAAGTGAATTTCTATTACAATTGCGAGAGATCAGGAGCTGATATTTGGACGAAGTTTTAAAATAAAATACTTGCTATTTGAAACAGTATTTTGTGATGGAAAGTATATGCTCTGTTATACAATAAAGTTTTTGAGTTCGAAAGTAAAAAAAAAACTCCTACATTATATAAATTCGATTCTTTGGTTGTCAAAGCTGTAAAATGTTCCCTTGTATAAAATTCTGAAATTGTTCTCCTGCATTTCAGAGTTTTCTCATTTCTGGACTTAACAAGCTTATGCAGATGTGCTGGAGTTTGCAAGGTAAGCCGTTTGCTCATCGAAATAACATGATCTGCTATTTTTTTTGATAACATCATTTTAAGAAATTATTATTCGTTAAGCTGAGCGGTCAAGTTGAAAAAACAAAGCTAGTAGAGGTACTGTACGGATCATGCTCTTGGGTTGACAAGGCTCAGTGGTTCAAGACCGAGCAGCAGTTGTTCTGTTTTTGCAAATTAAAACCGTTCGACTTCGATTGTCGAGGGGCTGTATATTTTTCGTCGGATCAGTTAAACTATGGATTTTCTTCTTAATTGTTCGAAAAAAAACAGAAAATTAATGCTTGGTTTGGTTTTTTTATTCAGTCATTTTTCGGCGATCGAAATAATAGTTTTTTAACAAAAAAATTGTTGTGCCCTTTGGAAGATATCGACTCCCTGAAATCGAAAGATTTTCTACCTCGGCTCATTTTTTGCAAAGTTTTGGGAGTTTGAAAATTGCCAATTTGGTCATGATTTGGACTAATTTATGCGCGCTTTGTTGCTGGTATCCAGAGTCCTTAAAGTTTAACGCGAATTGTTTATGCGTGGCGAACAGCAAAATTGTTCTAAATTAATTGAGGCTAGCTCTTGGTCGTATTAATTTCGTTCGACTCAACTTTTCACACATGATCTTTGATTTATCTTTTTAAGTATTTTCTTTTCCTAAAAACTTTTCGATATGGATTAAGGGGCATTCGGAACATTCAGGGCTTTGCACTGATGTACGAACAATCTTGTTTGCACATAGCGGATTGCTTACATTTGCGAAGCGATTGTATTAGTATGAAACTTCTTTTTTCCAACGTAATTCGCAATTTTTGGTGCCACTTTTAGGCGCATGGGCTTTGACTTTCGAATAGTAATAAGTTAAAACAGTTGATGCACTTTTAATTCATCAAATGAACCGAAAGCAATGATTTGCTTCAAACAATGTAACAATAATGACAACTCGATTTCAGAAAGTTTCTTACACAATATATCTGGCAATGTTTGAAATGCATAATATATACATAATGATTTGTTACATGCTAAGTTAGTGTGGATGCCTTTTTTTTGTTATAATCCAAATTATTACTTGCAAAATTGAGTCAAATTTAGTAATTGTAGCCACTTTTGATGAATGGCATTAGTAATTTATTAGAATATCCAGATGCTTATTCGTAACTAGTGTTAGTCGGTTGCTAAGCATGCGTGGCTGAGTGGATAGTGCGTGGGACTAAAGATATCTTAATTGCAGTTGGTCGCAGATCGAATCCTAGACCTAGCTGAGTTCTTGCTAATTCGAGGCTTGTTTCTATTTTGTTTTGTGCACTTTTTAGATTTGCTTTTTAGTCGTGTTCTCGCAAGTGCTTGCGAAGCGCAGCTACACCTCTGTCTTAAAAATAAGTTTCCAATGGTGCAGCTAATAAATTGGAGAATGTCTCTGGATTTTTTTGCATGTTTTTTAAAGCTAAAATAAAGGATAAACGAGCCGATATTTTTTCCAGCCGTTAGCAAAGTGTAATAAAATGGCCAAAGTGTATCACGTAAGCTAATTCAGTTAAAAGCTACATTTAAAATGCTAATTAGTGTTGCTACTATTTCAACAAATCTATCTATCTATCTATCTATCTATCTATACTTACTTTATTTAAATGCGTTTGACAGCTTTTTCCCATATTTAAGCATAATAATTTTGCGAAAGAATTTGTTCACTTTTAAGCTATATCTTATATTGCGATGCTTTAAAAAAATTTTCGATGAACTTTCCGCAAGGTCATTAATTTTTCGGCATTTTTTTTTCGAGGTCAAATTAAGTCTGTCTGTTTACCTGTTTTTTTTATCTATCTATTATCTATGTATCTACATTGTATATTTAAATGCGGGCTTCACTATTTTGTTGTGTTTAAGCTTTTTCAACGTAATAATTTGAATGTTTACCAAAAGAATTTTGAACGTCTAAGCTATATCGTATATTGCAATGGTTAATGTTTTTTTTTTCGTTTTTCCAGTTTACAATCAGTTCATTTCATCAAGTTTGAAATGAGCTACCCAATAGCTGGATTCTGTCAGATTTTTCGCAGGTTTTGTTATTCTGGCCTCCATATATAAATAACCAAATCCCTTTAGTTAACGAGATACGGCATTTTTCGAGATTTTTCAAAATTCTCTAGAACATTCAAGTTTAAAAAGTTTCTCAATTTTTGAAATTCTCACGCAGTAGTTAAGGGCAGTCAAGGTACTCTCAGGGGTTGCAAATCTTGCCTCCAAATCTCACTTCTCAAGTCCTTGTAGTTATCGAGATATGACGTTTTTTATGATTTAATTTTCAAAAAAAAACTTCCAAAAATTTGAAGATCTCAATCCTGTTGTTGGAATTTGTGAGGGTACTCTCAGGGGTTGCGAATGTTGCGTCTGAGTATGGATGCTCAAATCCTTGTAGATTTCGAGAAATGACGTTTTTCGGATTTTTGAGAAATTATGAAAAAAAACTTAGATGTCGAAAAATTCCAAAACGTTTTTTAGGATTTTTACAAACTTTTTCAGAGAACTTAGATATAAAAGTTTTCACAAAATTTGAAATTACCATTTCTGTAGTGAGGCTGTCAGGGTAATCTTAGGAGTTGATAATTTTACCGCCAAATATGACTGCTCAAAACCTTGTAGTTTTCCAGATATGACGTTTTTTGGTGAATTTTTCAAAAAAAGTTTCATGAAAATTTAATTCAATTTTTCAAAATTCGAAATTCCTAGCCTGTGTTTGGTGAGTGTCTCAGAGTAATCTCAGGGGTTGCGAATTCAGCCTCCAATTAAGAATGCCCAAATCTTTAAAGTTCAAGAGATATGACGGTTTTCGTGATATCTTCGGAAACTTTCAAACTAAAATTACAAAATAATTCACAAAAGTGAAATCCCAACCCTTTAGTTGTGTGCTGTCAGAGTACTTGCAAATATTGCCTTCAATTGAGACTGATCAAATCTTAGTAGTTTTCGAGATGTGACGTTCTTTCTGGTTTCCAAAAAAATATCTTATTAGAAAACTTAAGGTTGAAGTTTCACAAAATTTGAATTTCCCAACGTTTTTCTTTTACTGTAAGAGTAATCTCAGGAGTTGCAAGTTTTGCGTCCAATTGCGACTGCTCAATTGCTTCCCAGATATGGTGTTTTGTAGTTGATTTGAAACTTTTTCATAGAACTTATATAAAACTTCACAAAATTTTTTATTTCTTAAAATTTGTATGAAAATTTGAATAAAAAACTACAAAATTTGCAATTACAAACCCTACACTCAAAGAATGCAGATCTTATTTTCAATAAATGCGGTTTTTTATGAGTTGTTAAAAACTCGGGCGTACCAGAGGTGCGTTACACGTTAGTTAAATCTCATTTCTATTGAAATCTTCACATTTCTTTTTAGAACCGATTCTTTGTCGGGCTACTAATTCGAATTGCATTGTGTGACTTCTAAAATCAAAAGGATGCGTGTGACGACATAAGTCGCAAATTTTCAGCCGTTAGCAAAGTGTAATAATATGGCCAAAGTGTATCACTTAAGCTAATTCAGTTAAAAGCTACATTTAAAATGCTAATTAGTGTTGCTACTATTTCAACAAATCTGTATCTATCTATCTATCTATACTTACTTTATTTAAATGCTTTTGACAGCTTTTTCCCATATTTAAGCATTCTAATTTTGCGAAAGAATTTTTTCACTTTTAAGCTATGTCATATATTGCGATGCTTTAAAAAGTTTTTCGATGAACTTTCCGCAAGGTCATTAATTTTTCGGGAATTTTTTTTCGAAGTCAAATTAAGTCTGTCTGTTTACCTGTTTTTTTTTAATCTATCTATTATCTACGTATCTACATTGTATATTTAAATGCGGGCTTTACTATTTCGTTGTGTTTAAGCTTTTTCAACGTAATAATTTGAATGTTTACCAAAAGAATTTTGAACGTCTAAGCTATATCGTATATTGCAATGGTTAATGTTTTTTTTTTCGTTTTTCCAGTTTACAATCAGTTCATTTCATCAAGTTTGAAATGAGCTACCCAATAGCTGGATTCTGTCAGGGTTTTCGCAGGTTTTGTTACTCTGGCCTCCATATATAAATAACCAAATCCCTTTAGTTAACGAGATACAGCATTTTTCGAGATTTTTCAAAATTCTCTAGAACATTCAAGTTTAAAAAGTTTCTCAATTTCTGAAACTCTCACGCAGTAATTAGGGGCAGTCAAGGTACTCACCGGGTTGCGAATCTTGCCTCCAAATCTCAATTCTCAAGTCCTTGTAGTTATCGAGATATGACGTTTTTTTATGATTTTTACAAAAATTTTCAAAAAAAACTTCCAAAAATTTGAGATCTCAATCCTGTTGTTGGATTTTGTGAGGGTACTCTCAGGGGTTGCGAATCTTGCGTCTCAATATGGATGCTCAAATCCTTGTAGTTTTCGAGAAATGACGTTTTTCGGATTTTTTAAGAAATTATGAAAAAAAACTTAGATGTTGAAAAATTCCAAAACGTTTTCTAGGATTTTTACAAAATTTGAAATAACCATTTCTGTAGTGAGGCTGTCAGGGTAAGTTTAGGAGTTGATAGTTTTGCCGCCAAATATGACTGCTCAAAACCTTGTAGTTTTTCAGATATGACGTTTTTTTTGGTGAATTAAAAAAAAAAATTTCATGAAAATTCGAAATTCCTAGCCTGTGTTTGGAGGGTGTCTCATAGTAATCTCAGGGGTTGCGAATTCAGCCTCCAACTAAGAATGCCCAAATCTTACAAGTTCAAGAGATATGACGGTTTTCGTGATTTCTTCGGAAACTTTCAAACTAAAATTACAAAATAATTCACAAAAGTGAAATCCCAACCCTGTGGTTGCGTGCTGTCAGAGTACTGTCAAAGATTGCAAATATTGCCTTCAATTGAGACTGATCAAATCTTAGTAGTTTTCGAGATGTGACTTCTTTCTGGTTTCCAAAAAAATATCTTATTAGAAAACTTAAGGTTGAAGTTTCACAAAATTTGAATTTCCCAACGTTTTTCTTTTACTGTAAGAGTAATCTCAGGAGTTGCAAATTTTGCGTCCAATTGCGACTGCTCAATTGCTTCCCAGATATGGTGTTTTGTAGTTGATTTGAAACTTTTTCATAGAACTTATATAAAACTTCACAAAATTTTTTATTTCTTAAAATTTGTATGAAAATTTGAATAAAAAACTACAAAATTTGCAATTACAAACCCTACACTCAAAGAATGCAGATCTTATTTTCAATAAATGCGGTTTTTTATGAGTTGTTAAAAACTCGGGCGTACCAGAGGTGCGTTACACGTTAGTTAAATCTCATTTCTATTGAAATCTTCACATTTCTTTTTAGAACCGATTCTTTGTCGGGCTACTAATTCGAATTGCATTGTGTGACTTCTAAAATCAAAAGGATGCGTGTGACGACATAAGTCGCAAATTTTCAGCCGTTAGCAAAGTGTAATAATATGGCCAAAGTGTATCACTTAAGCTAATTCAGTTAAAAGCTACATTTAAAATGCTAATTAGTGTTGCTACTATTTCAACAAATCTGTATCTATCTATCTATCTATACTTACTTTATTTAAATGCTTTTGACAGCTTTTTCCCATATTTAAGCATTCTAATTTTGCGAAAGAATTTTTTCACTTTTAAGCTATGTCATATATTGCGATGCTTTAAAAAGTTTTTCGATGAGCTTTCCGCAAGGTCATTAATTTTTCGGGAATTTTTTTTCGAAGTCAAATTAAGTCTGTCTGTTTACCTGTTTTTTTAATCTATCTATTATCTACGTATCTACATTGTATATTTAAATGCGGGCTTTACTATTTCGTTGTGTTTAAGCTTTTTCAACGTAATAATTTGAATGTTTACCAAAAGAATTTTGAACGTCTAAGCTATATCGTATATTGCAATGGTTAATGTTTTTTTTTCGTTTTTCCAGTTTACAATCAGTTCATTTCATCAAGTTTGAAATGAGCTACCCAATAGCTGGATTCTGTCAGGGTTTTCGCAGGTTTTGTTACTCTGGCCTCCATATATAAATAACCAAATCCCTTTAGTTAACGAGATACAGCATTTTTCGAGATTTTTCAAAATTCTCTAGAACATTCAAGTTTAAAAAGTTTCTCAATTTCTGAAACTCTCACGCAGTAATTAGGGGCAGTCAAGGTACTCACCGGGTTGCGAATCTTGCCTCCAAATCTCAATTCTCAAGTCCTTGTAGTTATCGAGATATGACGTTTTTTTATGATTTTTACAAAAATTTTCAAAAAAAACTTCCAAAAATTTGAGATCTCAATCCTGTTGTTGGATTTTGTGAGGGTACTCTCAGGGGTTGCGAATCTTGCGTCTCAATATGGATGCTCAAATCCTTGTAGTTTTCGAGAAATGACGTTTTTCGGATTTTTTAAGAAATTATGAAAAAAAACTTAGATGTTGAAAAATTCCAAAACGTTTTCTAGGATTTTTACAAAATTTGAAATAACCATTTCTGTAGTGAGGCTGTCAGGGTAAGTTTAGGAGTTGATAGTTTTGCCGCCAAATATGACTGCTCAAAACCTTGTAGTTTTTCAGATATGACGTTTTTTTTGGTGAATTAAAAAAAAAAAAATTTCATGAAAATTCGAAATTCCTAGCCTGTGTTTGGAGGGTGTCTCATAGTAATCTCAGGGGTTGCGAATTCAGCCTCCAACTAAGAATGCCCAAATCTTACAAGTTCAAGAGATATGACGGTTTTCGTGATTTCTTCGGAAACTTTCAAACTAAAATTACAAAATAATTCACAAAAGTGAAATCCCAACCCTGTGGTTGCGTGCTGTCAGAGTACTGTCAAAGATTGCAAATATTGCCTTCAATTGAGACTGATCAAATCTTAGTAGTTTTCGAGATGTGACTTCTTTCTGGTTTCCAAAAAAATATCTTATTAGAAAACTTAAGGTTGAAGTTTCACAAAATTTGAATTTCCCAACGTTTTTCTTTTACTGTAAGAGTAATCTCAGGAGTTGCAAATTTTGCGTCCAATTGCGACTGCTCAATTGCTTTTAGTTTCCCAGATATGGCGTTTCTTAGTTGATTTGAATTTTTTTCAAAGAACTTACAAAAAACTTCACAAAATTTTATATTTCTTAAAATTTGTATGAAAATTTGAATAAAAAACTACAAAATTTGTAATTACAAACCCTACACTCAAAGAATGGATGCGTGTGACGACATAAGTCCTTGAAATTTTCCTTGAAAATGAAGATTTGATAAAGCGATAAAAAATTCGTCTCATTGACCTGCTAGCGATCTGTTTTCGACTGCCTTTTTGAGCCAATTGTGTATGAGGATATCAACAGATCAAGGGTTTTCGATACCGTAAATTTTTTCGACCATTCAAAGATTAATATTTTTTTAATGGTTTTTGCACGATTTACTAGTTCTGCGCAAAATTTGTATGGTGTTGCTGTGTTTTGTTGCAAAGTATCTACTGTCCAATTAGAAACGGGGAAAGTTTTCCCGAACATAAATGTTGAAGAATAAACATTTCCCACGATTTGCAAAAGAAGATGTGAAATTTTTGCGCGGCTTTGCTCTGAAAATGACTTCGTTGAAAATAGGTCAAACATTAATTAACTGAATTACAAAAAAATATATTTTGATTAAACAGAAGTGGCGAGAGCTGGTGAAAGATGGGAAAAACTGGCAAGTACTGGACCTTTTCTCGTTCCAAATAGCAGTCGAGGTAAGCTTCTTGTTTGGTTGCCTTCTGCCCGAAACTTTCCTGTTCTTGATAAATGTTGTTTAGAGCAACGTTATAAAGAGTCTTTCTAGACGAGCGGGTCCTTTCCTGAAATCTCTCAATCTAAAGGGCTGTAAAAATATAGGCGACAGTGCCATAAGGTTAGTAGCAAATGATCTGGTTAATAATAGGTGAAATGTGCAGCTCTTAAACCGCTGAATTTTTCAGGATTTTCGCCGAAAATTGTAATCAGATAGAGGAACTGAATCTTCGCGAGTGTCGAGACATAACAGATCGGTGAGTGAATTTCAGCAAATTATTTTTTGATTCAAAAACGTGTACCTTAAATTTTGTTGTTTGAATTTTTTCAGTGCCTGCGAGGCTTTGGGTGATTATGCTAAACATCTGAAGACACTGAATTTAGATTCATGCGATAAGATATCAGATTCTTCTCTCATCTCTGTCGGGTGAGATATATCGTCTTTTGTGATAATAAAGATTCAACTTCTGCGCACTTTTGACTCAAATATAAGCAAGCTATGTTATGCATCTTGTGGAATAGTGCTTAAATCGGGTTAATTGTTTCTTAAATATTTCAAAAGTTAAATTTTTCCTAATCTTAATCAGTGTTTATTTATTTTTTGTTTTGTGTAAGTAGACCTGCCGTTTTAAGCTATGAAGCGACCAGTAATCGAAATTTTGTATCGCGATTTCATTCGATTTCCGATTGCCAAAAATTTAGCACTGAATCTCCGGTAGCTGCTGAAAAACTGTAGAACATCAGAAGAAAATATTCGGACATTTTATCGGTTAAAATAGAAAGCTGCAAGCTTTTTGTCCCGAGGCCCTAGATTCAGCACTGGCTTGGTATAATCGTTTTCTTTTCTTGCAGAAGAGGATGTGCCAATTTAGAAGATGTTGATCTTTCCTGGAACAAACATATTTCTCATGTGGGCTTCGCAGCACTGACTTCTGGATGTCCGAACATTTTAAGACTTCGCTGTGCTGGTGTAGACAAGGTCAGTGCTTTTCATTAATAGGTAATGCTAAAAGGGTGGCAATGCCGGTGACCTTGACCTCTTAACATAAATTGCTTTAGTGGTAAATTGGATTTTTCGACACTGTTTAGACGCGGAAAAGGCCGACCTGGAAATGGCTACTTTTGTAATTCATTTTTGTTCAGATTCATCTGCCGAAAGGGATGAAAAATTGTGTTTTCTGATTAAATACATTCATTTTTTTTCACGTGTCGAATCTACTCTAAACAACAGTGAGCATTAAGTATAGAAAAGTTTTAATGAGTAACAAAAATGTGAATCGAAGTTTTTTTTCAGTTTAACGACGCGTGCATGACATTGATTGGCCAGAATCTGAACAGACTAATCGTCATCAACGTCCTCAAGTGCGCCGTATGTGTTTCTCATAATATTTCATATTCTGAAATATTTAACACGGCTATTTCTGCCTTATGAAGTTCTGGTACGTATTCATGGATCCATCCAACATTTCGTTACAATCGTTCCAACATCACATATTTTTCTTGTGCTGTAAGCAATTGCATAGTTATTGAAGGTAGTTTTGATTTTTTGCGGTTATTTCTATATCTACTAAAACCTGACTTGGTATATTTCTCTTTTTTTCGCTCAAAAACCTAATTTGACATATTTGGTTTCGGTTTTTGTTATAACGGTTTAGTGACCCGGCTCTGCGTCGTTTGCTAGGGAAAACAGCATTTTTGTTTTTTGCAGCATTTCCTACCTATTATTTTTTTTGTAATTTCAAGCTCAGTTGCTCATCGTGTCATGTCATTACTTTCACCTAAATGTCGTATATTGTTTGTGAGGTACGCTTGCACGTTAGAGCGCTAAAGCTGAAAAACTAGTTTTAACGAGGGAAGGATTATCTAACCAAGCATATGGGCTTCTGCCTTATCTTGTTGTATGGTGGACAGCTTACGTTTTTTAAAAAACCATTTTGTACTTAACTATTTTTTGGATCAAATTTGTACTTAGCTTTTTTTGGGATCAGTTTTTTTTTATTCTGAACTATCAGTTTTTTGATGTAGATGTTTTTAGGATAGTTATCAGGAATCTCATTACACTTGAAAATATTTCATCAGTTTCGAATTTTATAGTTTTTTGATTGCTTGCTGGCTCAAACTGTACGACTGCACTGTATAGGAATGCGAGCTCAGACTAAAGCTATCAAATCCTATAGTTTTCAGGATATGAAGGCTTCTATGTATGTCATGTCATTGATACACCGAAACAGTGAGAAACTTAATTTCAAGTTTTGTTCCCGTACAACTGCTTGTTATAATACCACCTCTCATCCTAGGTTTGCGAGCCCAGGCTTGAAATATGAGCCTTATAGCCTTAACAGCTTTCGAGATATGGGTGTTGTGGGTTTGAAAGCTTTTCTCAGGAAAAGTCCTAGAATGTGTTAGTCAAAAATTTACTTTTTCGCACTATGACTTTTGATTTGTGTAAGTTCAATTCATTTCGTTTGCTTACACTATCGGACACTGTAGTGTATTAGTATGAACCTTCTTTGTGTTCTAACCTACATCGCAAACAAAAGTTTTCACTGAATGTGGAAAGTGTTCACTGATTTGGCGGCACTTTTGCTATAATAGCGATCTAGCATTGGAATTTTCTTAGCATCTGTTCTATGGTTTATTTGTGGCTAGTGTTTGTGATGTATGGAGCGTGCTTGGCTGAATGGTTAGTGCGTGAGACTCAAAATCTCTAGGTCGCAGATCGAATTTGAGACGTAGCGGAATTTTTACTAATTTGAGGCTTACTTCGACTTTTTCTTATTGCTCTTTATAGAGCTGCTTTTTGTCCTGTCCAGTGTTTTCGCTAGTGTTTGCGGCTCTTTTTCAGTTCCCTCTTTGATTTTTTCTTCTGATGTTCAAAATATATAAAAGTCTTTAAAATGAGTTTTCAATTTAAAACTGCATCAAAACGTGTCAGCGTGAGCAGGAGAACATTTTTGTACAACATTTTCTACATGCAAAATGCCATGTGAACAATTTTTGAACATCTTGTTTTTGTAATTTTATAGGAAGATAGAAAACTGGAAAAGAGCCGTGTTTGCGAAGCGCAGCTTTGCCTCTGTGTGATTTGTCTGTTTCACATTAAACGCTTAGTTAAGTGCTGAACTCTTCGGAACTCTTAGTTGATTGTTGTTTTTCCACATTAAACGCATATTTTAGTGAACATTTTATATCGAATTGCGCACCGACCAAGACATGGTTCCTTGGTTTAAGAGGTTTGGTAATTGCATATAAAGGCAACCTCAAGTCCAAAATTATGTTCTTCAGTAATATCTGGAGGTTTTTTATTTCAAAGCCAATATTTCGGTTTTTAATTTGAAATATTGGCATTTTGACATACGAACTGTTTTGTTATAATGATTTAATGTTAGTCATTAAAACTAATACTTCCGTAAGGGTTGTCTAGTAAACAAATGGCAGTGACGTCTCAATGAATAGAGTTGGTCCTAAATAATTGATCGATAGAGATACAGTTCTTAAAAAATAATACTTGATTGACAATTATTCATGTCAGAATGCCTTATTATGGACTCATACTGGAAATAGTTTGGTCTGATTATTAAGAGTTCCAATGTGATGTGTTGTGTAGCGAGTGACGGACGAGGGCGTGACCAGGGTGTGTGAGGGGTGTCCTCTTCTGGAGACAATGTGTCTGTCCCAGATACCCCACATCTCCGACCAGTCCCTCCTCGCACTTGGACACAACTGTCCAAACATCAGGTGATAGCACATGTACAAAAATGATAGCACACAAACTAGTGCCAGTCTCTCATAGATATCGAGGATCTTGTAAGCTAAACCCCTCATGTGGTTTCTATTTTAACGACTTTCACCCTTTTGGAAAGGGAAAGAGAGGGTTGTTTAGTTAACAAGATGCGATATTGATTATATTTATAAGTTAAACTCGACTATAAATTTTTTTACTCTTGCGATAAGCAATGGTATTGCGATCGTGTACTAGCCTTTTTTCCCCTTAAACATCTTTGTTCACAGATCGGTCAGTTTTGTAGGAATGGTAAAGGCATGGACCATTTTTTGAAAATTCATATAAAACTACTTCTATTTAGGTAGTAAGTAGGTGGAATCCCTTTCGGGCAGTAATTATCTTTTCAAATAATTTCGTAAAAAAATATAAAATTTTTTTCTAATTCGTCGTTTTTGGCCCAGTTTCCGTCGGTTCGTTTTCGTTTTTTTTTAATGGTGTTTTTATTGTCTGGTACTAACTTTTATCGACTTTCTTTTGTACGGGATGGATTTGGTTTCGATTTAGATTTTTTAAATTGTAAATGAAAGATCTGTATTTTGTCATTTTATTAGGTCTGATTTTGATTTTTTAAAATTCTTCTTTCAAATTAACGCGGTTTTGGTTTTTTTTGGCTTAGTCAACTTATATTGCGTAGATTGGAAGGCAACAAACAACTGTGTATATGAAAGTGCATAGGATTTCATTTTCTATTTGTTTTAATTTTTGCGACGCTTCGGAATTTTTTGCAACGCTTTCGAATTTTTCCTATTTTTGCTAAAATTTAAAATTTTCTCTACCACTAATTCACTGATTTTCAAAAAACTGATACCAACGCAAAGACGGGCTGCTACGTGTGTTTGCATACTTGCCTTGTCTATTTTTACCGTACTCCACTTTCAACGGCCTTCGAAAATTTCAACGGGGGATTGTTTGACTCCTTTTCTTAGATTTTTTTTCTCAGAGACAGCATCGCCAAATCTCAAATTAAGGTTTCAATGGAAAGAACAGATAGAGGGGATCTCTTCTGCTAAAGCCGCTACACCCTATCCATTGTTATCGTTTTTTTGGAAGTTATCACCATTTATTGAAAACTGCCCTGCCGAGTTCGATATTGACTTCAATCGAAAGAACGAAAGTAGGCACTCCTCTCTTACCTTATTTTAGTGGAAGCTAATTAGGGCATGGGAAATTTACGCATTTTATCCTGCGTCAGTACAAAATGTTTGTAAAAATTTGTAGCTGAATTTTTTTTCGTGACGACATTTTTTTGGCCATTAGGTCACCCAGATTTTTTGCCTTGGTTGCCGCTAGGTAATCGACTTTTTTCAATGTTTTTTTTCCGCAAAAAAAATCAAAAAAATCGGTCGACCTTTTTTTATATTGACCAAATTGATGTTTTAAGCTCTCCCAAATCACTATAAAGACCCTGTTTTGACCAAAATTTTGGAAAAAAACAGGCCGAAAAAGGCGCGTTTAGGCACTCAGTGAAAAGTTTTTAAACTTTATGGACGGAATCTCTTAATTTTACTATGGACGGAATCTAGTTTTGTAAGCAATTTATTATTATTCTAAAAAATAGTAAGTGTAAACAATTAATCGTTCTGTCGGTTCACCAAAAATCCAACACACGCCTTCAAAACAACAGTGTAGAAGATTTTACGACCCTAAATTATGGGCGAAAATGCCTATCTGTTTTGTGGGAGATCAATGAGCGGATGGGCAATTATTTCAGCTCGGCAAAATCTTTAACCATTTCAGGGCCTGATCGAGCGCATAATTCTTACATCGTCTAATTGTCAAGTATATTGTTTCGTGGTTTTGTGGTATCAGTTAATATAAAATCTCATGCGTTCATTTTTGTTCTACCCTGAATGGGCAAATGACTCATAAGCATGGTATTTTTTCGACTTCGCCTGACTTAACTTGAATTTTGTTTAGAAACCTTGAGTTGAACTCATGTGCAGCTATTACCGACGTGGGCTTCAGTCATCTCACGAGGGTAAATCATTTCACCTGGGGGATCGCAAATGACAATTCATATCTAATCAGAATAAGGCTCTCAAAAATTTAAAAGAAGATAGTTTAATCGATGTTGATGGGTGAAAAATGTTTGGCCGTACACTCCTTTGGCAATGAAACATGCCCCACACCCCTGTTTTATCAGGGGGCAAGTGGGCGGACGACCCGTTTAAGGGATCCGACCCCCTGCCAACCCAAAGGGTCCCCCTTTGTACTATTTTGAGATATCCAGATTTGGTGACGGACCCTAAAAATGTTCTAAAGGCGTCTTCGGCGCCAATATATACTAATTTTGAGATTTTGACGGGGGAGCGCGCGCCAAAAAACGCGATTTTTAGGTCAAAATTTTCCAAAAGTGCCTAAAAACGCCTTTTTCGGCCTGTTTTTCAAAATTTTGCCTGGGGCGCAGAATTTTCTTAAATCAAGACAGGGTCTTTTTAGTGCTTTGGGAGAGCTCAGAAAAACAATTTGGTCGAACTAAAAAAATTTTTGTTTTGAAAATCCGGCCCCCCTCGAGAAAATCCTAGATCCGCCCCTGGTTTTTATATTGGGTCAATTCTAATTTGTTGCTATTAAGAGTAATGAACGTAGTGAGTACTCATTTATAGGTCAGGTTGATTTTTTTCAGGAAAAAGTCTTAAAATATGAATAAAAGTATCTAATTATTACAGATGTACATTGATACATATTGCTGCATTATGAATGCACTTAGATATATATAAACTTTTTGAGTTAATTGAAATTCATCTGCTGAAAGTGGCGTTAATAGCACTCTCCAAATACGAACGTGGAAATGGCGGGAAAAAACGTGAACGATTTCTAGTTTCGAAAATGGAATTTAATTTTTAGATTTCCAGCGGAATAAAAATTTTACCTGTTGATCCAGTTTTCTCAAGTTGGATTAATGTTACCAAAAAAGCTGTTTTCATAGAATCTCTAATCTGCTTTTTTTCTTTGAGATTCGAGAGTTTCAACGAAGTCGGTGTTTTTTGTTTACTTGCGCTCATTACTTTTTCCAATCTTCGATTGGCTATGTTTAGGTCATTTCCTTTGTTAAAAGGAAGGCAAACTCTACTATCGAACAGCAAAAATGTTAAACTCCCAGTGAAATAAAAACTTAACTATTGATCCAGCTTTCCAAATTGGGTTAATCTATCAAAAAAAACTCCAATCATAAATTTTTCGTGAAATTCAATTAGCTTAAAGGGTATATTCGAAAATTGAAGTTTTTTTTCAAAGAATTCAGTTTTTTTTTCTGTTTTCTTGCGTTTATTACTCTTTTCCATTTGTAAGTTGGCTATGTTATTTTTTGGCCTCTTTTCTAGAATCGGACTGAAGAACATTTGCTGGAGAAGCTTGATGTCGAAGAGTGCAATCATGTGAGTTGCTTATAGAATGTAATAGTGGAAAAGTAAAAAAAAAATCAATTATTTTCAGAGAGGAATATTAACATTTCTGATTCATTTGCTCTATTGGAAACATATGATGTTTTCTGTTTTTGTTTTAGTTAACTGACGCAACATTGCAAAACTTTGCGGCCAATTGTCCATACATACGGGAAATGGTTAGTTGCTCATAAATTTTTGTTCTGATCGCTGTAAGTATGGCAGGACTTTGTCTTCAGCTAGTTTTTCTTTGATTTTAACTTTTTTTTCACGCAAAATTGCTACCACGAATAATTATTTGAATAGATTGAATTTTTAGATTTAATGGAATATCATACTAAAGTACTTTTAGTCGAGATTCGAACAATTAAAAAAAATTCCAAAAACTTTTTTGGTTTCAAGAAAAGCCGGATTCAAATTTCGAGCGAATAGAGAGTGTTAGGTGTATATTGAGCTGTAAGCTATAAAATAATGAAATTTCAAAAAAATATATTTTTTCTTCATTTACTGGTTGGAACTTTCTGTGCTTTTTGTCCTTTTTATTAAGTGTTCATGTACAATGTTAGTTATCTCTTATTTAGGTCGTGTAGTTTTTTTGTTGCACATTCATTTACTGAAAGGAAGGCAATTTACGCGCTGGCAACAATGAAAGTGCAAGAGTGAAGGACTTTTAGCTTCGAACGAGGATTTTCATTTTCAGAATTCATAAATATGTTCACTGATATATAGGGCTTGATGTTTTTTTCCTTTTTTCCAGTAAAAAACCTCAAGCTCTAAGTTATTATCATTAGAATTGCGAGAGCAAAAATCTTGATCGGGAGCTAGACGGAGAATTTAAGTGTGCCGTAGGCAATGTTCATCGTAGAAGCATGTGTTTTTGATATACTCCTGTCGTTAGTAAAATTAATTGCCCTGAAGTTTTTCTCAAAGGTTTTATTTTCGCTTGAAAGCTTTTTTCGGCCTAATTGGTTTCGGCTTGTGTTATCTGCTTATTTTTAATATTTTGTGTCGCTTCAGGGGTAAAAAGATACCCCTTCAGGTAATACGCGTTGCAGAGTCATAAAGTTTTAAATTTAATTGCTGGAAATTTTTGCGTGACAACAATTTCTGGGGTAAATCTTAAAAGCTATTGGGTTTTCCGACTGTTTCTTACGCTTGCGATTAGCAAGCGTTATGAAATCGGAATATAGACAATTTTTTGGGCTAACAACTTGTTTAAAAAAATCACTGAATCATTGTGCTGTTATCATTTGTGCAGCATTCAATTCTGCAGCAATAATGCTCAATTTCGTGAAAAATCAAATTTAACTACTGGTTACGAAAACTAGTTGGCGGCTAAGGGCCTAGGCTTGATTCCTGTCAGAACCCGTTTTTTAAAACCCATAGTATTTTGTATCAAAAATCATCGGCCTATCAGTTGTCTGCTTGTCTTTTGTCGGCTTGTTTCCAGATTCTTATTTGATTGAAAATGAAGTGTTTTTGATTCTTTCATGTAATTTGTAAAATTAAAAACCATGACTCTGTATAATTTCTTTTTTTTTTTCGCTGAAAAGCTTCCTTCGGCATAAATAATCTCGGCGTTTGTTTCATCGGCTTATGGACAGATTATTGAGTCTTATGAAGCAAAAAGTAGATTTTTAAGAGTAATGAACGTAGTCAAGACTCTTATTTAGGTCTTGGTGATTTTTTTAAGGAAAAAGTCTTAAAATGCTCTAATAACTGTAGATGTGCTTTCATACATATTAATGCATTTATGAATGCACCTAGATATATTTGCTTTTTTGAGTTCAATTGAAATTCATCTGCTGATCAATTCGTAAGTAGCACTCTCCAAATGCGAACGTGGAAATGGCGCGAAAAACCGAACGATTTCTAGTTTCGAACGTGGAATTTAATTTTCAGATTTTCAGCGGAACAAAAACTTAACCTATGGATCCTATTTTCTTAAGTTGGGTTAAAGTTGTAAAAAAAAAGCACCAATCATAAATTGTTCTAGAAATTCAAAGAGCTTAAGGGCATCTATTTTTTTTTCTTTGAAATTCGAGAGTTGAGATTTTTTCGTATTTTTTTTCTGTTATCTAACGTCGTTGATTGCTCTTTTCCAACTTTTTGTTGGCTGTGTTCAACTTTTCGCGCGTTTTCGAAAGAGAGGGTCAAGAGGTTCAGATTTTATAGCTCAAAACTTTTCATTAACAATTTCTTTAGTCACTGCTGGATTATTTTGAGTATCGGGTACTAGACTTTTTTTGCCGTTAGCAACTTTGTGCACAGGTTTCATTGGACTCCTGATGTACCTTGCTTCACAGTGAATTCAAATTTCGTAGTGTCTTTGCACACTTAGCCTGGTGGTAACGAATATGCCTGGGACGGCAAATATCCTGTGTTCGAACGTGACCAGGACCAGTTTTTTTTCAAACGGTTGTTTTGTCGGCCAATTTACCGCATTAAGAATCGTTTATTTTAGCTGTAAAATGATTCTGAATGCAGTTGTTTTTCGCATTTTAAAAATCCGACCAAATTGAAATTTGCTTTTCGCATTGGTTGTGATTTTACCAGCTCGATTTATTGCAACTTTTTTTTCTCATTTTCTTTGTCTTATTTTTATCGGCTTATAAATTTTCGGCTTAATAACATCGACTTAGTGGCCACTTATTGCGTCGTTACGACTGAAAAAAGTTTTTGTGCACGTGTTTTCCTTATAAATTCAACTTCTAACTTTTTATAAGTTGAATTTTTTTTGAGATTTTTTCGGCATGAAGGGTTTCTGCTCAGATATTTTCGGCTGTTACCGCTTAGAAATTATAAATTCAATCCAATCAACCATCCGGCGCCTCTGGCGTAGAGGTGAAACAACTGTTTGAGACGGCAAAGGCTGGCGGTTCGACTCCTGCCGGGCCCTTTTTTGCAAACTAGAGTTTTTGTGCTTTTTCGGACTATCGTCCGTCTGTTTATTTTGTCGGCTTGGTTCTCGGTGGTTTAATTTTATTGAAAGCTGCTGTAACCCCATGCTTGAGGCGACACAGCCGGGAGTTTGATTCCAGTTGAGACCTGTGTTTTTTTTGCAAATAGAAAATTTTGGCTATTTTAGACTATTGTCTGTCTGCTTAGTTCCGCAGAAAGGACTTTTTTTTTCTTCGAAAACTTGCTTTTTTATATAGAATTCCCAAAGTTCTTTGTAGAGTTTATAATGGTGCAGGCAGTTTTGTTCCAGATATTTTGGGCTGTTGTTGTAACTTTTATAGACAAAAACGATTTTTTTTTTTGAATTTTTAGGTTTGATTTTCACAGTCATTCATATTTGTATCGCAAGGGCGAAGCTCAGCTTTGCCTCTGTGTAATATAATTTCTTTTTAGTAATTTTCTAAATCAATTTTCTTGGCGAGATTTTTAGAGTGCCTCTTTTGAACATAATTTAGGTTTGATACGTTCTTGTTTGCTACATGGAAAGCTGGTGTGGTTGCTTTTAAGTTATTATATACAAAATTTGTGCAAGTGACAAAACGTGCATTTAGCGACACGTTTATGCTTTTGTGCGTTTTAAAGCTACCGTTTGACGATTTCTCGCCTCTGTGATTTCATTTTACTGCATGATTTAAATCATAGTGTTTATACTGACTGGTTTCTCAATCTTGTCGACTTTAAACATTGCATGTCGGCTATCAAATTGTTCATTTTTGTGCCAATAACGAAGTGGGAGGGAAATTTATATTCTGATTTTTTTTAATTGTAATAACTTCAAAACTCTAATCAGGTACTACAAAACACTCGAAAGATATCGAAGCCTCAGTTGAGATAGTCTCGTTTGAAAGCTCTGCTTTGTACTCCGAGACCCTTTGCAGTAGCCCTTTATAGTGCGATTAGCATTTGATGTCAAGTAGCTACTGATTCAGCTAAGAAAAACTTTTTTGTGGAAAATTGGTCTTTGAAGCTTCGTTTAGCCTTTGACTGGCACCCAATCTTTTATACTAAATGTAATTCCGAATGCGCTATGGACGCAATGTTTAACTGAACGCAATGTTTTAGCTGTTTCGAATGCAACTTTGAAAAAATTCTCAAGGCTCAACGTTTAAGAGAAGGCCAAAAATGTTCTAGAATTTTCAAATTTTCTTAAGTCTGGCATATTCTAGAATTGTTTTTGACAAAAATTCAATTCTGTAGACAAGATGAAATCAATTCATTTTCAAGGCTAGACAGTGCCTGGCCATTTTCGAAATTTGCGTTCTTAGATTGATTGGCTCTGATACGAACCAACTAAAAACAGCTACCTCCTTGCTAGAAAAACTAGCTGTTTCCAAACCGATTTGCACTATGAATTGTTTTAAAAAATTTTCTAAGTTTCCTCGCTTGCATAGCTTTCTTACAAAAACATAAACTTTTCGCTAATCGATTTTCTCTGTGAAAACTTGAGATAATTCAAAGTTTCATTGCCTCAATAGCTTGCTCAGAAAAACTTTTTCGCAAACCGATTTCCCCTTTGAAATAAATTGAAAAATTCAAAAGTTTCATCGCATCCCCGAGCTTTTCGCAAACCGATTTCCCCGTTGAAATAAATTCTGTTTTTGGAAAATTATAAGTTACATAGCTTGAATTATGGCTAAATGCGTGATGTTACGATGTGAAGTATGAAAAACAAATCTGTTTTTTCACCATACCAAATTTCATTGCATTATGACAACATTTAATAAGCTTTTCAAAATTGACTTTGAAAGGGGGGGACTGGAAAAGAGTCGCTTATTAAACCCTAGGCAGATTGTCAGGGTTGAAATGAATATTTCGAAAATTAAATGACCTTTCGTTGATGGAAAGCTCGTTATGACATGTAGATGTTGATTTCGAAAATGATGTGAAATACGAATAACAATATTGAATCAAAAGTGAAATTTCATTTCAGATTTTCCATTGAAATATTGAAAGCAGCTGTTGATTCAGTTTTTGGGCACCTTAACAACTTTTGATAGCATGTGCTTTGACACTCGGTTAGTAATAAGTTAACACAGTTGATGCATTTCCCGTCCGCCTTGTCTTGGAGGCTCTCAAAGATAGTTTCGAAAGGGTACCCCTTAAAACTACCCTCATTTTCCCCCAAGTTGATATGCATTGTTTTGAGCTTCTGCTGGTAGAGTTAACCATTTGCAATTTAATATAAAAACTAAATGATGTGTTGATAGTGTTTAGTTTTCCGCTTCAAATGAATTTGATTAGCTTTGTTGGTACAAGCCGTGAGCTGTTTTATTTTAGGTAAAAACTTTGTAAGGCGAAAATCGCCTATCGCATAAGCTGACACTCGTTCGTTCTTAGGTTCAAATCTTATTTTATCTTTTATATAAAATGAAAGTCTTAATGCGCTATGGACGCAACGTTCTAACTTTTCGATCGAGCACAACGTTTAAGAATCATTCAAAGCAACCATCAGAGAAAGATGAACTCGATCCGACTTCCAGGCTAGACAGTACTTGCCTACTTTTTGTCCAAAATTTTGCGTTTACAGATTCATTTCAGTCTGAAACGAATAAACTGAAAACAGCAACCTCCATGCTGAAAACTTTTTGAAGCACTAATTCGGTCCATGAAATAAATAAATATTTCAAAGTTTCATAGCTTTATCATTCAAAAATTAATAGCTATAAAGCTTGCTTAGAAAAAGTGAAACTTTTCGCGAACCGATTCGGTCCACGAAATAACTTCAGTGGCTGAAATTGAATTTTTTCGAGTGAAATTGATTAATCGGACTATAGTTCATGGGCTTATGTTTTGTCGGATTAGTCGTGACACCACAATTAGTTGCCACACCACAGTGGTATATTTTCTGTTTTAGTTTGGTATTTCTAAAAAAATTGTTGATTTTAAAATGACAAGTTTCTTCATTTTTTTTGGTTTTTGGATCAATTGGCGTCTAACCTCCTGTTGTTGGCTTAGTGAACGCTCGGAAAATACTAAAAGCTTGTTTAATGCTAGTATTTATTAAATGAAAGTCTCAATGCGCTATGGACGCAGCGTTTTAACTTTTTTTTACCGAGCACAACATTTAAAAAGACTGAGATCAGAACTTCATTAAGAATCATTCAGAGCAGCCATCGAGCTCAATGCTTAGGTAAAAACTTTCAATCATTCTAAGTACTGGAATGTTATAGAATTCTTTCTGAAAAAAGTTCAAAACTCTTTAAACGTGATGAACTCGATTCAACTTCAAGGCTAGGCAGTACCTGCCCACTTTTTTGTCCGAATTGTTGCGTTTACTAATTCATTTATGTCTAAAGCTAATTAATTAAAAAGAGCAACATCCGTGCTTACAAAAACCACCTCTAGCAAACTTATATCCGCTATGAAATAACTTGAAGTTTTTCAAAGGTTAATTGATTGAACACCTTGATAGGAAAACTTCAACTTTTTGCGAAACGATTCAGTCTAAGAAACAACATGAAATATTCAAGCCTTCATCGTTCGAATTGCTTCAATATTAGAAATGCATTTTTTCGCCTTAAAATTTGCTTCATAAAATAACTTGATTTGTTACAAAATATCTTAACTGGAATAGTTTGCTCAAGAAAAACGCGAACTTTTCACAAAACGATTTGCTCCAGGAAACAAATTAAAATAACTTCAAAATTCATCGCGTTATCCTTCCAATAGAAAAACTAAAACTTTTTGCTAACCGATTCTCTTCATGAAATTGCTTGGAATATTGAAGCTTAATTGCTTGAACAGCTTGCTTTGGAAAACTTCAGTTTTTCGCAGTCCGATTCGCTGCACAAAATTAACTTGAAGGCCTTAAAGTTTCGTAGCTTGAATAGCTTGCTCCTAAAAAGTTCATTTTTTCGTGAACTGATTCGTTCTATGAAACGTGGAAGTTTTCAAACCGATTTATGATCTGGCTCAGCTTCAGATTTCGAAGTTTGTCTTGATAAAAACAGCATCTTTTTTTGCGAGCTGATTCATTACTATAGAAGTGCTTGCTATTTTTGAGAATCGGAAAAAAATCGATTCTGCCAGGCAAACTCTTTTAATATAATTTGAGCTTAATTTTTTTTCCAGTGTAATGGTCAATTTTTGCGCTCCGTTTATTTGGCGAGCGCTTTAGTAGCGTGTAATATGTCCGCTTTTTTAAGGCGCTATCTATTTAATGTTAGATGACATGTGGATCCTATAAGTCAGCTAGAGCAGTTAGCTTAGACTGTAAGATGAATGCTTCGTAATTCGATTTCTGCTTTTCGAATCGCGTAGTTGGCTTCTTGTATTTAGTATTTGTTTTTTGTTGTCGGCTTATTGTATATTGTGCTGTCGTATATTGAACTTATAAAGCTCCCTTTTGCTATTTGTGCGAGAAGTGCAGGTTCGCCTCTGTGGGTATGTATGCGATTGATACAAAGAATCATATTTGAAAATTTTCAAAGAATCATATTTGTGGTTGTGTACTTTTGAGATAATCGATTTTCCCGTAAATCATTTCAAAGCATGTTCTGATTACACTTGCGAAAGCAAGTGTTATGTAATCGGAAGTAGATTTTTTTCCGTAAACAACTTAACTCAATTTAACTTAATTTTTAACTCGCTTTATTATTGATTCTTAACAATTTTCAGGTTCCTTCGCACTTGGCGTAGAAGTAGCGCCGTCGTCTTTGCACCCTTAGATCTATGTTTGAATCCCGACAGAACCTTTTTTTCAGCATGTGTTAATATTAAAATTTTTCCTGCAAATTATACTTTCTTTTGTCTGCTGCTGTTTTGCTTAAATGCCACCTGACAGATTTCTCTTGTGCTTTAAGCAAGTATCATGACAGTTGAAAGTGTTTTTAATTGTAGTTTCAGGGCTTGCTTGAAACTATTCAAAATTTTTCATACAATCATTTTTTTTCTGCGCAGCTGGTTTCTGCTCAATGATTATCTGCTTTGTATCCGCTTCGTAAGTTTTGTTCAGTTGCTACTTTAAGTTTCAAATGTCTTGCTTGACTTGTTTGCCTAGAATTCCTGTTTGATAAAAACAGGTATCATGAAAGTATATGGGATGGGTTTTTTATTTGATTTTTTTTGAGACGCTTTCCTAAACTTTTTTTAAAACAAAAATCCTACTTTTCTCAAAAAGTTCTCTACCAAATTTCAAATAAGGTGTATCAATGGAAATATCGCTTACTCCCTTATGTGCCTGCGGAATTTACTTTTTAGATTTCCAGCGGAATTAAAGCTTTGCCTGTTGATCCAGTTTTCTCAAGTTGAATTAAGTTTATGAAAAAAGCTCTGATCATAAGTTGCTCTAGAACTCCAAAAAGCTTTAAGGGCATCTAAAATTTTCCATCCCACTTATTTTAGTTGTTAATATACTTTTTTCAACATCTTGTGTTTTTTTATGATTGTGATGGATTGCAAGTGGTGACAAACTCCGTTTAGCCTCCGTATTCATTTTGTTTTCACTTAGTCTGTTTGAATTTGAAGATTTTTTACGAAGCGTTTTTCAACCTCAATTATTCTGTCCGATGACAAAATTGAAAATGGCGCGAAAAATGAGATTCGTTTTTAGTGTGAAAGGCAGATTTTATTTTTCAGATTTTCAGATTCCATTTCAAATTTGGCTAGCTTGATCAAAAACGAGTCCCTAAATCTTTTTGATATTCAAAGAGCTATTTTTAGATCCTGTCACATTGTGACCAGATCACAGATGAGGGAATCAGAGCCCTTTGTGAGTCGGCAGGAGTGCAGCAGTGTCTGGAGAAGATCAAACTAGACAACTGTCCCCAGGTGTCGGACGCCTCCCTCGACTTCCTCTGTCTCTGCAACAACCTCAAAGAGATAGACCTGTTTGACTGTCAACTCATCACCAGACCTGGTATCGCTTCCCTTAGAGTGAGTTCGAAGGTCACCTTCAACGCCTAAACTCATATCCCTTGCGATAATTTTTTATTATGATATATTTTCCAACTCTATCCGATGATTATTTGTGGTAGCTGATTTTACGTGGAAAACAAAAAAAAAAGAATACACTGGAAAACAAAGTTCCTCCCCATTTTCAATGGTCGGAACAAAAAGCTTATAAATACTAAACCAGTGGAGCTTTTTGACCCAAATAAGCTATTTTTGGCGTTTTTGAAAACTGATTTAGGTTGCTAGTATATGATTGGTTAAAATTAATTAAAATCGAAAAAAACTATTATGAGGTACGTATTCTTGTTTCTCGGCAGTATACTGAGAAATACCCGTGCATTTTCGTGACTTCTTCTGACGGGAGCTATGTGAATGTACCAGTTTGAAAGCGGGTTACTTAGTGCAAAAAATTTCTTAAGAAATCCTTTTGTTATAGTGAGATGAGTTCAATCTGGTTTGTTTAGGCTCGCTTACCACATATCAATGTGCACGCCTACTTTGCTCCAGCCACGCCCCCCATTCCCGAGTTCAGGGGCAGGAGGAAATGCTGCTGCTGCGTCCTCTAGATCCCCCACCCACCTCATTGCATTGCACGCCTGTTGCTGTCTGAACAGAAGTCGAGAAACAGTCCGAAATATACGTTAAATGTGCTCAACGAGTATCTTTGAATTCTGCCTGACATAAAATATTTCAGTCGGGAAAGTATGCGACAATTAAATGGTGCGAATAAACCAGTTCAATTAAAATATAAGCCATGTGCATGAATAAAACATTTGGTCGAGTTCGAGGTTTATTCCATTTGTTAGTTCTATCCTTTCTTTTACACGAAGGTATGATTCTTAGTTTTTAATTCTAAATCTACTCTTTAACTTCACCCTTCATTGCATAAAGGATATCGGCTTTCAGATCCAGTGCTCGCATATGCTTAACCGATGAATTAATCGCCTATAGGGGTGGATATCCTTCACTAGATACCATAGGGGTGGGGAGAGTAGTTTATGAGACCACTATTTCGTCTATAGTGTCAATTCTAAAGTAAACAAAGTGCAATTAAATTAAATTTATCTATTTTTCAGCCGATTAAGCCAATCCGACCAAGCATGTTAATTATCTCTACTTTCAATTATCTCTTCTGAATCAAAACCATCCAAGTAGCTCGATCTTTAAAATAGTTTCTAAAGTTTCTTATGATTAAATGGTGAAAAATATTGCTTTAAATTTGACCGGGTTTTTAATTTTTGACAGGCTAAATTGTGCGTTAGCTTGAAAAATTGAGATGTTTCTATCGACGTTTATTTTGTTTTTATTTCATCGCATGCGGTGGGTAATATTTGATGCTATTATCTTCTTCTTGCTCAAAACTTCAAACACTGAATATGATACTCGAAATATTTATTTCAATTCTGAAGTTTAAATTCGCGAAAAAAGAAGGTTTATTCTTGCATACTGCTTGTTTCATTTTGCTTGTTTCCATAGGTGATCACTATTTATTCCTGCTATCATCAGTAAATCAGAAAATAATACCAAATTAGTATACAAATTTATTTAAAGATTTGATTCATAATATGTTATTTTTCTTTTTGAGAGAAACTATACTGTAGCTGTCCAGTTTATTGAATGCTGAATAAATAGCTATTTCACAATGACAAATTTTGAAAAAAAAACTATAATTAAGTTAGTTTAGTTAAAGTTTATTGTTCACATATATATGGTGCTACCCGCCAAATAACTTCGTTTCTGAACTTCTCGATTTTTTTGGCAACTCCAGTCCAGACTTATGTTTCAGACGAAGTTTTTTATTGCGCTGTAATGTTGAATGCCTGGCCTCAACTGGGTTTGAAATTATTGATTGTGCTTCTAAAATAGTTTCTATTGATCACTACTGTCGCCCAATGGAGACGAAATTAGTTTAATTGTATGGCAGTAATTAAGTTTGTATAAATGTATAGATTACATTGAGTTTAGTTTTAGTGTGACCAATTCTGTTTTAAATGCTGAAGAATCCTATTTGAAAAATTCGAAAAATCGTGACAGTACTAGGTACTTCTTGCATTGGTCACTATTGGCTACTAGGTAACCCTGACACTGGGAAGGGGGGGGGGGTTCGTGACGAAGGAATGGATAGGAGCAGGGAGCAACTACTTGCTTCTCGTGACCTTTGAGGTAATTTTAAATGAACTCGACTGGACGTAGTTCAGATTTTTGTATAGGTTGCGATGATTTTTTTTTGCGGTTTGACCTTTGATTTCTTTTTAATCTGTTCATTTCCTTTGTTAAAAGAAAGCCAAATTGTTTTATCGAGCAGCGAAAGTGTAAAGCTCACGAGAAACGTGGTTGACTTCTAGTTTCGAAAATGGAGTTTAATAATCTGATTTCCCAGCGAAATAAAATTTTCAGCTATTGAACCATTTTTCTCAAATTGGGTTATAATTATCAAAAAGTATTCAATCGTAAACTTTTCTTGAAATTCAAAGAGCTTTAAGGCCATTTTTTTTGAAATTTGAAATTAATGATTTCTTAAGAGTAATGAACGTAGTGAGTACTCCATATGGGTCTTGCTGATTTTGCTTTTTGTTTCCAGAAAAAGAATAAAATTTTGTTCACGCTCAATTTTTTTTTTGCGGTTCGACTTGTAGTTTTGTTGTGCATTTCTATTGTTTAAAGGAAGGCAAACTCCTTTATCGCACAGCAAAATTGTTAAGGTCACGAAAACGTGATCGACTTCTAATTTTGAAAATGGAATTTAATTATCAGATTTCCCAGCGTAATAATAAAAATTTGCCGATTGACCCAGCTTTCTCAAATTGGGTTAATTTTAACAAAAAAAGTGTCCATCATATTTTTTTTCCTACAAATTCAAAGAGCTTTAACGCCATCCTTTTTCTTCGAAATTGAAAAATTGAAGATTTTTGAAAAAATAAGTCGTTTTTTTGTTTCCTTGCGTTCATTACCCTTTTCCAACTGTCAGTTGGCTATTTTGGTAAATAATAGATGCAAAGCAAAACATATTAAAATGTTTCAAAAATAAAGCAAGTCAGTTTTCTTTTTGTGCATTGACTCTTTTCCAACTCTGTTGGCTGTTTTTTAAGGATAGTTTGGCCATGGTAAAGGAAAAAGTTTTTGGTTTGTAACCCACGACAAAGAAACTTCTCGGAACAAGGATTGTTGTGCCAAAATTACCGAAAGTTCCCACCACTATAATAGAAAACGTGAAAAAATAGTCACGTTTTTGTTCAATTGTATTGTCCGGTATATGATCAGAGGATCGGAATCAGAGGCTAGAACTGAGGCATGTTTGCATTAGCGAGCTTGTGAGAGTTGTGTATCTGTGCTTTGCTGTATTTGCGACTAGTGTTTGTGATTCATTATGCGTCCGTGGCTGAGTGGTGAGTGCGTGAGACTCATAATCTCCTGGTTGCAGATCAAATCGAGTCGTTGCCGAATTTTTGCTAATCGAGGTTTGTTTCATTTTTTCTTTTTGCACTTTATAGAGTTGCTTTTTTGTCGTGTCCTCCCTAGTGTATGCGGAGCGCAGCTTCGCCTCTGTTTAATTTTATTAATATCACGAACGCATTGTCATGTTAAGAAGTCATAGCATCTGCTATATTGGTGACTCGATTTGAACAATAGTGAAGTAAGTATGCCGCAGATGCATCGATATTAGCCTCTGAATACCCATTTCGGGGGTTCGATTTCGACACAAGTCGATATCTTCGTTTTTACGCGTTTTTAGAGCTAAGGTTTGCCGTTTTATTACTCGTGTTTGCAAAGTGCAGCTTCGCCTCTTTTTAAATATGTGTCATTCATAAATTATTCATGAATTTCAAAGAGCTGGAACAAGGATTGCTGTGCCAGAATTACCGAAAGTTTCCACCACTATAATAAAAAACGTGAAAAAACAGTCACGGTTTTATTTTCAATTGTTTTGTCCGGGGTATGATCAGAGGATTGGAACTAGAAGCTAGATCTTAGGCATGTTTGCACTTGCGAACTTGTGAGAGCTTGTGTATTAGTACGGACCTTCATTTCTTCGAACCTAACTCACAAATAAAATTCATTAAGTGTTCACTTATTTGGTGGCACTTGTGCTGTAATCACGATCTGTAGCATTGGAAATTTCATTTTGTATGTTCTCTGCTTCTTTTGTGGCCAGTGTATGTGATTTATTAGGCGTCCGTGGATAGTGTGTGAGACCTATAATCTTTAAGTCGCAGATCGAATCCGAGTCGTTGTCGAGTTTTTACCAATTCGAGGCGTGTTTTTATTTTTTTATTGCTTTCTATAAGGCTGCTTTTGTGTCTGTGTCAAAAGTTATGGCAATTTGGGCTTATTTGACAGCAGTTCTCTTCGAAAAATGAACAGAAAACAATAAACTTGAAAGTTGTTTTTGTTCCGACCATTGAAAATGGGGAGGAACTTTGGACTCGGGTGCGTTTTAGTTTTTTGCCTTTTGTTTCTCACGCAAAATAAGCCACCATAAAAAATCATTGGACTGGGTTGAGTGATATATTTTATTAAAGCCCTTGATTCGAACGACATTTAAAAACTTCGAAATTTTTTTCAGTGTCGAGAAAAACCGGTTTGAAATTTTAGATTTTTTGGTCTAATTTCGAGCTAATAAGGTGACTGCGTAGCATATTCAAGCCTAATTAAAGCCGTGAAAACTTAATTTTACTAAATTAAAGGTAGTTTTTGGAGTTTTAGCGCAATTTCGGGAATCTAAAACTTGAAAATTTAAACATTTCTGCGAAAAAAAAATGAAATTTGAAATTTTTTTTCCTTATTCTAGTCATTTGTCAAAACTGTTCTACAATTGAACTTTTTTGCTATGACTCTGAAATATGCCTAAGTTATATGTTTGTCCTTCAGATCTTTGTATCACAACACACAGAAAAAAAACGACACCAATTTGAAAAAACTTCGTATTTTTTTTTAAGACTGTGGTCGAAACATTCTGTGCTACTTGCACAGTAACCGGCTATCCTTGTTTTTTTATGATGTTTGCCAAAGATTGCCCTAACATCTATAGCAAATTTTAGTGGAGTAAAACTAAGTTTTCATGGAATGATTGAAATGTTTCCTTTCTATCATCAACCTGTTTGCTTGCTTTATTTGCTCCAAATTAGACTTAAAATCAAATTCCAAACCGACTTTTCTCGGCACTTTGTTTTTGAATTTTTAAATTCAAATGTTAAATGAAATGGTTTGAATATGATATATCACCAGATCCATCCTGATTCCTGATGATTATTTGTGGTACATGATTTTGCTTGGAAAAAACTTAAACACACGCGAAGATAAAGTTACTCCCCACTTTCAGTGGTCGGAACCATAGGAGTTAACTCAAAAGTACTAATAAGGACTTGGTGACTCTATATTTTTTGCATTTTAATCACCTTTTGTTATACTTGCTAGATGAAGTGTCTTGTAATCGGGAACTAGACTGCCCGACTTTTTCCATAAACAATTTTCTTACAAATCTTCAACTTGCTATATAATTGAACCTGAACAACTTCTAGGTTACATACCACTTGGCTTAGATGTAACGCTGCCGTCTTCAAACCCTGAGGTTTGGGGTCTGAGTCTCGACCCGTCCTTGTTTTCTTTTTCAGTATGTATGCAATAGAAATTTTTTTCCGGTTAAAATTAAATTGTCGGACTTTCGTTTGCCTGCTCATTGTTGACACATCACGGATTTAGTTGTGATCTAAGCAGCATCCATTGTAGTCGCAATTGCAAGTATTCTTAATTGAATATGTTTTTTGGCTCAAAGGTGTCTACTCAAAGGTTGTCGGCTTTTTTTCTCTTTCAAGCTTTGCTCGGTTGCTTATTTAATATTCAAATGTCTGGCATGTTTGAACTTCTAGAATGAACTTCTATTGAGGCATACAAAAATTTTAATTTTGGTAGTTCTAGTTTTTTCTAAATTTTTCATTTTTCGACTGAAGTTTTTTTGTCTGTGTTGTACCACAAGTAGCGAGAAGCTCCTCTTTACCTCTGTGTCAAAATTTTGTCGAAAGGAATCACGTTAACACCGTTTCAGTTCAAATGGCTGCTGGCACCGCAGTGTTACCTCCTGGATCGTCCTCTAGCAATTCCGGCGGAGGGGGAAGCAGTCTTGGCTCAGAATTAAGTCTGGATCAGATTCTACTGGACGCCAAGGACATGGCCGACCGAAAAGACCACGAGAACCTCAGACAACTCATCATCGACAACCGACCGAAGCTGCTGCTGGTGAGCAAAGCGAAGGCGGCTAAGATGGTACGCACTCTTATAGATCTCTATCTAGACATGGAGGCACGAACGGGCAACGAAATTCAGCTATGCAAAGATTGTATCGAGTGGGCGAGGAACGAAAAGCGTATCTTCCTCAGACAGAATCTCCAAGCTAGACTAGTGGAGCTTTACTTTACCTTCGGTCAATACCAAGACGGAATCGACCTGTCGGCCAAATTACTGGACGAGTTGAAAAAGGTTGACGATAAGTCGCTTCTGGTTGAAGTTTTTCTTCACGAGAGCAGAATTTTCCACGCTTTGCATAACCTCTCAAAAGCTCGCGCCTCCTTGACGTCGGCAAGAACGACTGTAACAACAATATATTGCCCGCCCAAATTGCAGGCACATCTCGACCTCATGTCGGGAATTATTCACGCCTCAGAAGAGAAAGATTTCAAAACAGCCTATTCGTATTTCTACGAAGCGTTCGAGGGTTTTGACAGTGTATCGTCATCACATGCATTGAGGGCTTTGAAGTACATGCTGCTATGTAAGATAATAATGAACCAAGCGGAGGAAGTGAAATCGATAGTTAGTGGCAAACTGGCTCTTAAATACAACGGACGCGATGTCGATGCTCTCAAGAACATCGCGACATCTTACCACGAGAAACAGCTGCTAGTCTACAAGAACTACGTACAGGAGTATGCAGACGTGTTCCAAAATGACTCGACCATGGTCCGCCAGTTGAAGAAACTATATGATAGACTCATGGAACAGAATCTTTGCCGTGTGGTGCGGCCGTATTCAACTGTCCATGTGAGTATACAGTATCCGTCTGAATTTACGCAAGAATATCAGGTGCGAGAGTGAATGGTTACGTAAACAAAACTATTCTCCTTAGAAAAAGCAAGATATAAATTGTTACCATAGCATTACGGGACGTAGTCATCAGAACAAAATAAACGATCCTTCATATCAATAAAGTTCGAGCTCAAGCTGCGCTATGATGTTTTTTGAAAAGTTTTGCCGGAGTATATAGTAGTGATGATAAAAAGCGAACCAAGTTCTCGGGAATTTATTTATTCCGCTACATGATGGAAAGAACCGATGAATCCAAAATAGAGGTCTAATTAAAATTAGCTGCAATTTATGAGTTAATTATTATTTTCTTGTATCATGATATTTCGCATTTTAGGTAAGCAAAGTGGCGCAGCTGATCGAACTGCCTGAAGCGGACGTTGAGAAGAAACTCAGCCAGATGATTCTGGACGGACTTCTCAGGGGCACAATAGACCAGGGCAGTGGAGTACTGGAACTGTTCCAGGTTGACGACAAGGACAAGACATATGAGGGAATTCTAGAGACTATCCAGAATCTGGAGAAAGTGATGAACTGTCTCTACGAAAAATCCAACAAACTCACGTACTTGAACTGAATTTAACTGCAATTGTTTGTTGGATATGTGTTTAGTAAAGTCATGATAATACGTATGATCCATCACTGAACATTTGAAAAAGATTTGGTATTTTTTTGTTTTTTTTTGTTGAAAATTAAAGCGATTAACGGGAAAATTACCGTCATTGAGTGCGATCATCTTTATAACATGACAATGTTTTAATGAGGAAAATGGCAATGATATTTACTGAACTTCGTGAAACTGAATTTGTCTGTATATCAATTGGAGGTTAACCAAAAAGGATTCAGCTTCGAGTTTTATAACTTTTGTTGATATATTTGTGAATAGGTTCATCTCTTGAAATTTATGATTACATTGTTGTTGTTGTTGTAAGCTGTAAGTGAAAACAGAGATTGCTCAATAACATGTTTTAGATTCTAATTAACTATTATCACCAAGTTTCAATGCTGATTTACTTTGAAACATATATCGTGGAAAAGATTGAAAAAAAAATGGTCTTAAATCTGGTGGAAAATAGGCGAAGGATGCGTCTTTCTTCAATAGAAGCGTCAAGAAAACTCAATTCGCGTAATTTAATGACCAATTTTCTTGAGCTGCCTTAGGCGCCAATGTAAATTAATTTTGAAGGGGAGTGCGCACCGTAAAAAAAAGCAACCTTTGGCCTGTTTTTTTTTCAAAAATTTCCTGTTGCCAAGGAAATTTGGTCTTTTTTATGATTGAGTAGAGCTTAAAAAATGATCTACAAAATTTTCGAAAAGTTTAAAATCCGCCCCTTCTCTCGAGAATATTCTTGATCCGACCCTGGGTGCCCGTATACGCTTTTTTGTAAAAGCGTTGAACAAAAAGTCAAAATTGCTCAAAACATTGTTTTCAACGTAAAACTTTTCCAAAAGTCATTGGAGTTTTGGCAGTGCTGAAAAAATCATGCTTTACGGCGTCGTTAATAACTAATCAGTGATAATCATGTTGGTTATTGCACCAGAAAAACTTTGTGAGCTTCAGTGTAATAGTACGACTTTTCTTTTTTCTAAACTAAGTTGCAAATATTGATGTCACTTTTCGTGGCAATCTGACTGCTTTTTGATAGCATGCTCTTTGACATTCGAATACTAATTACAAAACACAGTTGATGCATTTTTAATTCATCAAATGAATCAAAAAACCTTATTGTTTGAAACAACATAACAATTACAAAAACTCGATTTCAGAAAATTTCTAGCTCATAATATCAAGCAAGTTTTTGAAATGCATAATTTATACATAATGTAGCTTTTTGCATTCCAATTGATAACATAAAAAATTAGTATTAATGGCTTCAGTTTGTTATAATCCAAAATTGTGCCTATTTGGATTTGGTGCCACTTTTGCTGCATCGCATTAACAATTTGTTAGCATATGTAGCTGCTCTATTTGTGACTAGTGTTTAACGGTTGTTAAGTGCTCGTGCCCGAGAGGACAGGGCGTGAGACTTCAACTCGAGGTCACAGGATTGAAGCCAATATTTAGCAAATTTCTACTAATTGGAGGCTTATTTCTATTTTTTCTTTTTATGTTTTTGTCGTGTTCCTGCTAGTGTTTGCGAAGTACCTTTTTGCATCTGTGTAAAACATATACTGATCCTACGTGCATCAGAAAACAGCGCAAAAAATAAGACAGGTTTAAAATTAGTTCAAGTGAAGTTTAGTCACGATGATTCCGCTCTTTTCCACTCAACCCACCCACAGTTCAAATTTTCGAGTTTCATAGTCCTGTTACAAGTTATAACGGGTAAATGCGTGATATTTTGATGTAAAGGGCAAAAAAGACCAAATTTGTTCAAGATTGCTGCTTTATTGACTATGCAAAACTTCATTGCATTTTGACAACCTGAAATTAATTTTTAAAACTTGAAATTCAAATGTGGGGGGTGGGGGGGGGGGTAGAAAAGAGCAAAAAAAATCATTTCTGCCTTGATAGCGTTTTGCGCTTCTCTGGTAAGCGTTGCAAAATGTTCCTCGATAAATGCGCTGAGATAAAACGAAACAAGGATTGCCGATTTCTGTAACAAAACAAAGAAAAAATCTGGTAACATTCAATAAAAGCTTTAAAAGTTTTTTTTAATTCTTGCCGCTTCACGACTTAAATTGCTTCTTTTTGTCATACCTGATTTTCTGTGGGAAAACAATCTGTCACATCCCAAAATAAAGTTCCTCTCCACTTTCAGCGATCGGAATAATGAATTAATTTGTGGGTGACTAGTCTTTCATTAAAAATTTTTCGAACATTTCTTTAGTTTTTTTTTACACTGAATCAGAGCGACAGACATGATTTTAATTTGTTAATTTAGTAACCGAATAAAATTTTTTGGGTTCAATTTTTGACGGAAACAGAAAGAAAACATAAAGAAAACGCTAATTTAAGTGCATAAAGGGAAATTCTTAAGTGCAGCATTGCTCAGCAAGCAGGATATTCTGGATAAAAACATTTTAAAGCTTAAAATAAAAAAAACTGTAAAAATTTAAATTTTCTAATAAATTGTAAAAAACTGCTTATAGAATCTCCTAAAACTTAATTGTGGCATTTCTTGGGCGGTTACATTTGTTTTTATTCCAACAGACTTGCGCGAACGGCTCAAGGAAAAACGAAGTTTAATCTCCTAACAACTTGTTTGAAATGTACTATAATTGCTATTTCGAGCGAAACAACTAGAGCGAAACAGAGCCATACAACGATCATTATCTAACAGAAAATTGAAAACGTTTAATTTTTTAGTGTAATCTACTTAGGCTAAGCTACGTTATCGGCTAGCGATCAAGAATTTGTCTTCGAACCAGAAAAAAAGGACAAAGTTCTGTGGGGTAATGATCCACAAATCTCCCAACATTTTACTAAAAAAAATGACAAAAGAGGCGAGTCTAGTAGATTTGGAAAAAGATGTTTACAATGGTCTGTAGACCTGATGTGAAACTACGAAATTGGATTGTTCTTATTCTCATTTGTTCAATCTTTATCTAGCGTGTTTACATAATTTACTTTCAGAGGTTACATCTTCTGCCCTCTAAGGAAGAAGTTGTGGAGCAAGCTAAGCGAGCAGACGAGTACGTTTGTCGGCCGAGCTAAGTAGAACGGCAGAACGGGCGATTTTATCTTTCTGGCAATTGAGCGAAACGATGCGAGCGAGTGGGTAAAAATCCATTAGCTTGTTCGATGCAACGAGATCACCGGTATTAAAGTCACTATCAGGAGGAGAGTACCATTGTTTCCGCTTGACGACACAAGTGAATTTTACCCGTAGTCAACGTGACCATATTGCAGTCCCGCACGACTGTGCATCAAAATACTGTTTTTTTTTGTCAAAGCATTTGACAGGAATCAGTTGCCCAAGCAGAAAGTGATTTGGCGTAAGCTCCTCTAGATTATTTGGGTCCGAGCTCACTGGAGTAACGTGCCGTGAATTTAAAAACATTTCATTTTGCTGAAACTTGTTGCGCGAACTCCGTCGGTCATAATATAGGAACATATTATCGAATTGTAGACTTACTCACAGCCGCGGGCCTTTCCTTTCTAAGATCCTTCATTATGTGGGCTCATGGTGGATTAAATTTAGTCTCCTGCACAAGTTGTCTGCACAAACGCAGCCGCCTGCACAACTGAAGCCGCCTGCTAAAGCCGTTTGCACAATCGGAGAGTCCTGCACAAGTTGTCTGCACACGTCATCAAAACATTTTTATTGACTTCTTGATTAACGATCGATGTTAAAAACCAACAGAAATTTTAACAGGATCAGAGGCGCCTGAAAATGGGCTGCAAAAGTCCACTGCGTTCTCGCAAAGAGATTTCATTTGGTTGTAAATGTAGTAACTTTTACACTGAATGGAATCTAATTTGCAAACAACTTATTAGGGTTATTATGTCGTCTGCACAAACGGAGTCGCTTGCACAACTTGTCGACATCACCACAGTTGCTTGTGTAGGATTAATAGTTGTTTGATCTTATGTACACAAGGTCATTGTGTAGAAGACGTCTGTTACGTCACATTACGTATCTGAAAAGAGAACAAAAGATGAGAAATCAATGTGACAAACTAACCAATTCAGATCTAGTTGTTTTATCTAATAGGCAACTTCAACATGGTAGCAGGAGGTTAATAAAAAAAAAATTCACGGATGACAGGAAGATTATTTTGGAACGAAAAAAGGGTAAGTACGATGAAAACGAGAAAAACATTGCATTGGAATGAAGACGATGAAGTGACACCGACGGCGGACACAACAACGCAATTCAACTGTATTCCACAGAGATCGGTGGGGAGTACCGGAGTGAGTACAAGTAGAAGCAATGGAGAGTTGGAGGAGCTGAAAAGAAGATTACAAGCGTTGGAAGAGAGAGAAGCAGGGGACGGAAGAGAGCAAAGTAGGAGAGAAAAATCGAGAATTAGGTTAAAAGATCTGAATATATCAATTTTGAAGTCAACAGAATTAGAAGAATATATGAGGTAGAAGAAAAATTTATTGTGGTGAAAAGAGTGTACAAAAATTCCATTGGAGATGCAGGCACCACATGTCATTATGAATGGGATAACAAACGCAGAATTGAACGAAGCTGTTATTACGATGGATCGTGACGAAGCACATACTGAAGCTGGAATAACAAAAATTGTTGACATGCTGGATGAGTATTTGACACCGAATCCGTTTCTAAAGTTGGCTCAAACGTACAGACAATGGAAAAGATGTGAAATGGGTCCAGAGATAAGTTGGGAGGAGTACATAAAATGAATGAAGCGATATCGCAGGGAGATGAACGAGGCTGAAATGATAATTAACAATAGAGTATTTTGCATAGCATTACTGAAATGATCAAATTTAGATGAAGTGACAAAAATTAGCATAGAGAACATAGCCCGGAACAAAGAAAACGGAGGAATAGAAGTGAGGATGGATCCAATTGTGCAAACAGTGAGGAGATTCACAGTAAAAGATAACCAAGCCACGATTATCCTATTCAACCAGAACAACAGTTGAGGATATCAGATGAGCAACAGAGGTCAAAATCAGAGAGCAAGTGGGGAATACAGGTCGGCGAAGGGAAGATTTGGTCAGCAAGGAGGATGCTTTTGTCCGGGTCGTTAGAACATTGGATGCGAGAATGTAAAACCAATTATGGAAAAAAGTTGGGAAGTGGAAGAAGAGGAGAGCAAATGTACAGCGGAAACTCAGTATATGGTAGGAGGTTTCATTAAAATTGGATGCAAACGACTACGAGTAGTCAGGGCATGGAGGAGAGTAATTCTGGGGAAGATCAAGTGCATCAGTCGAAATTTGCATAAACGGAGGAGGCCTCAGTGGAGACGTTTCTCACCCTGTTATTTTGCAACCGA